GATGGATCTTTATGGTTGGTACCGAGAACCCAGGAAGGGTCTCAGCCGGCGCCCACTCGCAACCTTACCCTGGCCTTGGCTGAGTATGCTCAACCACCGCTTGACATTCCTCGTCACATTGCACCAAAGGAAATCAGCCAGCCTTCGGTGGTAGGCATATACCACCTCGCCATTTTGGGACCTCCGCTCACACTGAGTTGAGGCTATTCATAGTGGCGCATATAAGAAATTGCGCCACCGGTGGCGTAAATAGACAAACCCATTAAAAATAAGTAAATATATGTTGAACCAAGCAAAACACGCGTGAGGTGAACCAAGCATCGCAACGCGTGAGGTGAACCAACCATCGCAACGCGTGAGGTGAACCAACCATCGCAACGCGGGGGGGGGCAGAGGAGACTCCATCTACAGCAGCAACATCTACAGCAGTCAGTTAGAATGTACAGCAGTCAGTAGTCTTGTACCTGGATGGAGTAGTATAGACTAGTACTGTATGGCTGCGGTGAACTACATCTAGCGTAGTCTACAACGGCCTCCATCGCAAAGCACCTGAGGGGGTTCTATCAAGTGTGTTACTGCTGGTGCTGCTGGTGCTGCTGGTGCACACCTTTGTACGCACAGCAGCTGTGTCTCTCTCTCGGTCCACCTCGCGTTGCGGGTTTGCTTTCTTCCGTCTTTTCCGAGCGGCGAGTTTCCTCGCATCAATCCATCTCTGCAGAGCTCGGTTCTTGCCTGTGGTGTTTTGACGAGGAGGGTGCAGCACTCCCTCCCCGCGGTGCCCGCGGTCGTCTCCCTTCTCCCGCGAGCGGTGCTTACTGACGTGGTGTTTACGAATCTCTCTACTCCTCCAGCTTCGTGGGCCACGCTTTCCGCGACGGTGGTTGCCAGGTGCAGTTTGCCGCTTTGCATTACTGCCGCGGGAACAGTGTCCATACACACCTCTCGCCACTACCGTGTGTGTGAACCTCTCGCTGTGTGTACCATGGCAGCACTGCTGTGATTGTACATGTAGGTATTACTCCATGCATACTCTAAAGAACACGCACACGTAGCAAGAAAAAGGTGTACAAGAGCCCGAAGAGGTACTACTACTCGCCACTACCACCGTCTGTGCATCCTCACCGCCACGCTGAGCCAGCGCGGCGGTGAGTTGCACCTTGGGACACCACCCGCCTACTATCTGTTGTGTCCTGGTTCGCCCGCGAGGGACTCACTAGGTCGATTTCGGCCCCGGCCGGGGAGCAGGCCGAGGAGGAGGAGGTTAGGGTCATGTGTGGTGGGTAATGTTGTTGTTGTTGTTGTTGTTGTTGTTGTTGTGTCTCACATCAGCTCTATACATGTAGTCCACAAAAAAAGGGGAGCCCGTGGTCTCAAAACCCGGCACATACGACGCCGCGGGGAAACAAAACCAAATTAGTGTGTGCGTGGCGCGTGTGTTTTTATTATTAGCGCGGTGGCGCGTGTGTGTGTCTGTGTTACTTTATGCGCGTCTTTTTGTTCTGTATGCGCGCCCGTTGGTTTTGTTGTTCGTTGTTTGTCACGCATTTATTTGTGGCTGGGAGCCCGTGGTCTCAAAACCCGGCACATACGACGCTGCGGGGAAACAAAACAAAAAAACGGTACAAACCACTCGGAAAAAAAAAATAAAAGGATAGAAAGAAAAGAACCAAGTAGCGCACCGACCGTTCGAGAAAAGTGCCCTCGGAAAACGATCAAAACAAAACAAAAACAAAACTAAAAACAAAAAATAATGTGCATTACCCGGGTCAGACCCCGTTACCGACCGGTATTTTTCCGCAAACCAGCAATCGGTGTTACCGACCGGTTATTACCGCGACAAGCGGGGATGAAAAACGACCGTCCCCGGGTTTTTCAAACGTCCACAAAAGAAAGAAGCGCTTAGAGTCCTTCGAAACTTTCGTCTATCACTTTCAAGGGGGTGCTCGAAAGCGAGCCCCAAGAATTCATTGTCGTCTTTCAGTGCCTGTGTGTCGATGTTCTGCTGTTGATACGCTATGCTCTGACCACTGGAGGGACTGAGTGTGGAAAGCTGCAGCAGCTGTATTGTCGTTTTTCCCTTCGCAAGGCACAGGCTGAGGGGGTCCCGCTGATGGGGGGGGGCGGGGGGGGGGGCAAGATACTGTCGAGATTAACCGCAAATTTTTACTTTACCGACCCCTCCAACCCTTTACCGGTGAACTACCGGTATGCCAGTAACGTACATCCTTGCCTGTGGTATCTTCCCGTGCCGGTACCGAAGGTCTGGCATGTTTTTGACATGTTCCTCCGCGGTCAGTCCGCAGTCGGCAGCCATGAATAGGAAAGATGCCATGGATACGGTGTTGGTAGGTTTTGAGACGTTCCGAGGCTATTCGATGTTCTGCCGTGCGGTGACGTGGAGGTCGATTTCCGCTCGATTTCCGCCGTCCGTAGTGGACAAAAAGTGGGTACAATTTGGACGAAAGTGGGTCGAAAGATAGACACAAGTGAGTAAATGAAGAAATTAGTAGACGCCGCTGGGTATACCCACCATGATGTCGGACAGAAGTGGGCACTCTGGTGAGGCCTCCCGCGCCTCGACGGTATTAGGGCCAAAGGTGTGCCTGAAAGTGGGAAAAAATCGATGCCCGTGCTGTGTATAGTCCCTGACTGTGTCGCCCAGGTTTCAGAATGGGGTTTTGAGTGGTTTGGAGGTCGCCTATGGAAGGCGCGCGCGCTGGATTTTCGAGAACCCACTTGTGTCCGAGAATGGCGTGGGTATACCTTCTTCTGTCCATTCCCCCCCAAAAAATCTCCACCGGGCAAATAACAACAAGAGGGTGGGAACGTCCCAAAACAAAAAATATCGACTTGGGTTATATCTCGAACGGGTTGTCTTTCTGTGAGGATATCTTTACTTCCTGAAAATACTCCAACCTTCGAACACACCCCATTGTATGTATGAAGGGCACAACACTACGATAATTTTGTTTGCCGCACACCTGAGGCGATTTTTGTTGGGGGACTACGTATAATATGGTACATAACACGTGCCATCAGCTCTGCCTGGGAAAGTGCATGTGAAATGCATTAGTCTAGGATAGGACGTACCTGTGTTGTGTTGTACGCATGCATACGCTGTGTAGTGAAGTATTTTTTCTGCATGTACAACAGAATCCTGCTTGACTTGGCTGTACAATGAAATACATCGAGTCACGAGCTGCTTACTTACTCAAGTATCGAAGCGATGGCATCTTCTCTTGGACTGCCCGAACCGTTGCTGAGGCCGCGTCGCTGCTCGAGTGGCCAATAGCGCGCTCGGCTACACCGAAGGGTGACCCAGTGAGGGGTACAGCAAAGGCGAGAGAGTCAGTGCCCGAGGCCCAGAACCAACGTAGGTTCAACAAAGGGCAAGAAGTACAGGTACAATAGGTTCGCACGAACTCGTGGGAAAAGGATGGTACCATGGCGATTTCTCATGCGTCCTGCAGGGCAGCCGTGCGTGAACAGCCGCAAGAGGTACACGGTTGCCGAGCAACGCTTGTGTTGCACACGTAGAGTACATTTGTAGTACAACAGGGGCCTGACGTGGGAGCTGCGCATGAAATAAGTCGATCTGTTTGAGGTACCAGCTCACCTGTCCAATCCAGCCACAGCAGTAGCTCTCAATGGAAACTCAGCGCAGGCCTTCACCGCTGCCGGCGAACAAAGCCGAGGATTTCTAGCAAAGGCGGCCCACATGTTGGCGTAGAGACGTGGTGCTAGCACGTCTGTGCACGCGTTTCGCAAACCAAACTCAATTGCAATGTCTCAACTGGGTTTTTGGTGCAGGGGGGGGGGGGGGGGG